TCGCCATCCTCTCCCAACTCACTTTAGCACGCCCTTCTTCTCCCCCCATGCTAGAGAAACTTTGAACAAACCATTTGAAGTTGTTTGATCACATTTTTAGGCAAAATAAAGATCTGCATCCAATATTGAAGAGTCCCCATCAACACTGATGTTACTAGTTGCAGCCTACCAGCATAGCTAAGCTTCTTTGACCCCCAGGAGTGAATCTTCTTCGTAATTGTGGCCACCAGTTTATCAGTCTCACTAGAAGGTAGCTTCCCTGAGATAAGAGGCATACCAAGATACCTAACAGGTAAAGTCCCCCTTGCAAATCCTGAAAGCTGCAAAGCATTCTGCTTAAACTGCACAGACTTCCCACCAAAATACACCTCACATTTCCCTGGATTGCACTTTAGGCCAGATATAGTGTGGAATTCCTTCAATATCCCCTGAACCCTCCGAATAGCCTGGCCTGAGTCCTCTGTGGAGATGAGGAGGTCATCTACAAAGCACAAGTGGGTTAACCCCACTTTTTTACACTGAGGATGGAAAGCCAGGTCCCCTACTGCTGCAGCTAGGGGTGTACATGGGTCGGTTGGTTCGGGTTTAACCATTTTAATCACCCAACCCATGCACTACGGTTTGGAAATTATCAAACCCAAACCCACCCAAGAATATTTAAACCCTACGGTTTGTTTCTAATTGGGTTGGGTCGGGTTGGCGATATTTTTAAGTAAAAACCCAACCCAACATAAAATATATAATTATTATACATCATAAAAATATTTTATAACTAATTAAAATTTTAAACGAATAAACCGAGGTGAAAGGTATCAAAATTCACAAATGTTATTTGAATTTTAATAAAATGTGATTTACTTCAACATATGTCTGGTTTTTTTCATGATATTTGTTGAAATAGGCTAAAAAAGTTATAAACAAACGCATCCATAATATATTATTCTATTAAAATTGTACACAAGAAAAATGATTATGTGAATCATAACTATATTCAATTTATGTCTAAACTTTTAGTCAAAGAATGCATTAGATTAGGGAGACCATGGTAGGAAAACATGGCGAAATATCTTAATTTTCTCATAAGTATGGCTATATACGACATAAATATTTTTAGATACGAACTCATACTAATAGTTGGAACACGGGTTGGGTCGGGTTCTACGGGTTGTGTAATCCAAAATCCAAACCCAACCCAAAAGAGGCGGGTTGTACAAAGGAAAACCCTCACCCAACCCAAAACCTTCGTTTTAGCGATAAATACGGGTGGATTGGATCGGGTTGGACGGGTGGATCGGTTTGCGGGTGTGTTTGTTCACCCCTAGTTGCAGCTCGATTCAAGAGAAGAGATAACCCCTCCATTGCAATTGTGAACAGGTAAGGTGAGAGGGGGTCCCCCTGCCTCACCCCCTTTGTGCCCCAAAAAACCCACACAGTCCACCATTTATACAGATACTGAATTTTGCAGTTTTAACACAAAGCCTGATCTAGTAGATAAACCTCTGGGGAAACCCCATAACTTCCATCATGAGAAACAAGTAACCCCATTGAACAGAATCAAACGCTTTCATAAGGTCTACTTTAATAGCACAACGAGAAGAAAGAGTACTTTTATCAGTTTTATGATAGCCACTCACTAACTCTTGAGCCATTAAAATATTATCAACAATTCTCCTTCCTTCAATAAAAGCTGACTGATTTCCACTGACCACACTAACTAAAACCTTCCTCAGCCTGTTTGCTAGCAACTTAGCAATGATTTTGTAAAGGATATTCACACAGGAAATTGTCCTAAAATCTTTTAACTTACAAGCAGAAGCCACTTTTGATATCGAAGACACAACAGTGGAGTTAATGCTACTAGGAAGTTTACCTGTATTGAAGAACTCCGGAATCCCAGCAGTAACATCTTCTCCAATAATCCCCCATGTGCGTTTGTAAAAACCAGCCGAAAATCCATCAGGGCCAGGTGCTCGATGAGTATTCATGCTGAACACAACTTTCCTCACATCATCAGCTGTGAAGCCTTGGCACAATAAATCCCTCTGCTCACCACTCAGCCTATGTGTTACAAGGTCCTCCAGGTACTGTCTGCAGGGTTTTACCTCTGGATCGATGAAGCCAAATAGATTCTTATAAAAATGCACTGCCTCATCATCAATTTTGTCCATCTCCACTACCTCCTCACCCCCTTCAAGCACTAGTCTCCTTATAGCCCTCCTAGCAATTTTGATCTTAACCGATTGGTGAAAGAATCTGGTACCTTGGTCCCCAAGCTTCAAGTAGTTTACCCGAGACTTTTGCCAGTAAAAACTCTCCTCATTCTTCTTCAGCTTCTCAAGCTGCTTATTCAGGGTGTCTACTTCAGTGAAAGCATCACCAGATGGATTGGATAGAGCCAACTCTTGAGCAGCAAGCAATTTACCTTCTACTTCTTTCGCCTGCCCACTTATCTCATTAAACACTTACTTATTCAGCCTCTTTAGCCCCTGCTTGACAGCATTAAGTTTAGTCTTTACATCCAATAAGGGGGTCCCTTGAGCAGGGGTAGACCATCCCTCCTCTACAATTTTTAGGAAGTCAGGATGACCAGCCCAAAGCTCGAAGTACTTAAACGGCTTAGGTATAGATTTTTGCCCTGGCTTTGCATCAACACAGACTCCACAATGGTCTGAGAAAGCCCCTACCAAGATTTCAATACCACAACTAGGAAAAACATCAAACCAATCCTCATTAATAAGGGCTCTATCAAGTTTCCTGGCAATAGGGTTATCCTTTTGCCTATTCGTCCAAGTAAAGAAGGGTCCATTTGACCGATGATCAACAAGTTCCATATCATCAACCCAGCCTTTGAAATCCGACATACAGCTATTTACCATGGACAAATTTGAAGTTTCCACTGGGGACTTTAACTCTGTCTGGATCCCAAAATAGCCAAATTCTAAGTTCAATGTAACTAGGCGCAAGAACTCTAAGTTCAATGTCTGGATCCCAAAATAGCCAAATTCTCCCAAGATCGCTTTCAAAATAATTGAGATACTTCTTGCATCCCACACAGAAATCAACTACAGTTTCATCAGATTTTTCTTTCCTTACCCTTGTTTCTAGAATAGCCACCACATCCACCTTGTACTTCCTCAGGACTTGTGGGAAGTCCCTTCTCTTAGAGGGTAACATTTCAGAATAATATCTTCATCCTGGAGGGGATTGGGAACCCCCACCCTTCCTGACACTTTTTTTAGGAGCTGCTTGCAACTGAGTAATCTCCCTATCTCCTAACCCCTGCAGGGCAGCAAACGATTGAGCTGTTTGCAACACACTGGTGGGACTAGGAAGAGGTGACCAACATCTAGGCCTTGCTCCATTAACCACCTTTTGAAATTCATCCTTTGTTGGGAGCTGTGGCGAACTGCACTCTGCGACTGATTGGGAAGTATGCTCCAGATTAATGCCAACACAGTTTGATCCAATCAGAAGACTAGAACGATGCATAGAACCTTCAGATACCACACTCTTCCCCTTATCCACCGTGACTGGACTACCACTGTTCTGGTTAGGATTGTTCTTAGTTTCACCACTCCCAGCCTTCTTCCTTACCCAAATACGCTCCACTTCCCTATTCTCTTGGACCCCCTTATCTTTCAGAGTACGATCATGCTTCCCACACCCACAATTGAGGCCAAAGGACTGGCAGTGCCCACAGATAGGAAGGAGATGGCTATAAGCCACACCCACCTTAATTGAACGATCATCACTTGGCCATATAAGAACATGATCAGGAAATTCACCCGAAGCTTTCAACTCCACAAGAGCTTTTGCACAACCAAGACGACCACCCATCCTCGTAGTGTGATCGACCCCCAGCGGGATTCCTAGCCAACTGCCCATTAGACTCAGACCTTGAAAATTGACATACTCCAACGACACATTTGTGAACCTAACCCAGATAGGCAGAGCCTTATTCCCCAAATCTTCAACATCAATCCCCAGGCTCCATGGTCGAAGGTATAGCATATTATCTAAATAGAACCAAGGCCCACTCTCCAGAATCCAATCGCATGTTTCCTGGGTAGGGAGCTGAACAAGAATCATTTGATTGCCAAGTAAAGAAACGCGAACTACACCGTCCCGACCCCATAATTTGTTCGCCCATCGTTGGAGTTCCGGAAGAGGAGGAGGAGAGGGATGGAGGAACTGACCGACCAGACTGTGCTTCCATCGGGCCGCTCCTTCATCACAGACAATCTTCGGCATGCGAATCCCTCCCTTGAACACCTACGGCAGGATATATGCGAGACGATTCGCCTCGGCGATGCCAAAGAGCTCCGCCCAAGGCTTAACTGGGATCCCCTCAGTACCCAAAACATTCGATTCAGCTGCCATCGGTCCTGAAGAAAAGAAATCGCACCGGCGCAGATGCCGCCACGGCCAGCCAGGCCCTAGTCGGAACCCTGACTCACCAAGAAATTGGGAGGATTTTCTCTCACTACTCTCTCAGACTCTCACTGTAAAGTTTGAGTTGTGTGTGATTTAAATATTTCTAGTGACCAAACATGAATGTTTTTTGTAATCTCAATGACCAACCATGCAATTAACCCTATTATGTCCAGATCTCATCCTCGAACCGACTCCATCGCCGACGTCCTCCGGAGAGAGATTAACAAAGAGGAAGGGGAGAGAGAGAGACATAAATTCCAAACACACTACCACTAGTTAGTCGTCAAATAAAAGAGGATACATATAAGCAACCTAGATAAGGACTTCAAAATACAAACTTGCAAATAAACCTATTCCATGAAATAGCAAGATTGTCAACCCCAGATTGATCTGTTAATTGATCCAGTGAGAAAAAAGGGTCGCACCCCACGAGTTGGAGATCACACGACATTGTTCCCCTTTGTTTGTGAAATGTGTCTCTTTTCCAATTTTTCTCTTCACCTAATTCAACATTAGAATACTAATGTTATATAAAATACTAAACATAAGTGTTTGTGGATCCAAGTAGAACAAAAAATCTTGATAATAGCAAAATCGACACATTAAAGAAGACAGATGAACAAAACTAAGAGCACACCAAAATTGACACATTAAAGAAGCAAATGCTACTACTACACAGCAGCACCATATGCTAACAACATGAAAGAACCAAAATCAAACATGTGCTGGTTTAAATTAAAGCATCCCCTATGCTAATTTTGCTCTGCAGGAAGAAATAATTCAAGCACATGAAGCCATGGCCTGATGGATTTCTGTTTTACCAGAGGCTACATCAAGGAGGTGCTTTTGAAACATAACTGGCGGCAATGGACGATGAAGCTCACTGGGTGGATGTGGAGTTACCACCTGCAACCCAGTACTGCTTGACTGCGACCAGTATTTTCTCAGGAACAAGAGGACCATCTTCATGGTCCATCATCTTAGTATCCCATCTCATTCCTCCTATTATCTTCTTCACCTTGATTAGTACATCCACTTCATCTCGGATTATAACTGCACCTTCTGGTCGCAAAATCCGGTCCATCTCCAGAAGGATGTCCTCTAGATTACACCTGCAATTTACACGAAAAAAGGAGGAATGCAGTTATCAGTACGCAGAATGAGGAGTGTAAACTAGATCAACAGTGGTGCTTCCACAAAAGGGGAAGAACAATGCGACTTCAGCAAAAGAACACAATCAAACCAAAGAATTAAGAGCAATACTTCCTAGTCACTGTACAATCTAGGAAGACAATAAACATGAACGTTAACAAAAGCGGAGAACTATTTACAGACTTCAACAACTGAAAAGGCAATGCTTACTTCTTGTTGTACAGACTGAAAAGACCATTGGCATGAATCAAGTCATAGGACCTTGGGTAAGTAGAGAAAGCTTCACACCTATTGACAAACCAAAGCGTTTCAGTACAAAACCCCAAGTTAATGAATAATCCAAAGAAAAGAAAAAGACCCAGAAAACTTTTACCAGTCATGGTAGATTCCAATCAAGCCTCTTTCATATACTGCACCAAGTGTACTCCTCTCAGCTATAGTTGGCACAACATTCATAACCCACAACTTTGGAGACTGAAGTGCAGCAGCAAATCCTCCCAATCCAGCATTCATGTCCATTATGTTCCTGTACCTTCCAGAGTCCAGAAGTCTATTGATTCTTTTATAAGCTTTAACATGCTTCTTCCATTTGTTACTGTCCTCTTGGTATTTCTCAGCTGAAACTCCAGGAATAGAACCACTAGCAACTCTTGGTGGAACAGCATAAAGCCTTTCAGGGAAATTTTTAAGTGCTGAACTGCTAGTATCAGGATAAGGTGTGACACAAGTCTCCATCTTCTGGTACCTGGCAGCCACCAAGAGCGCGTTAATCACCATGCACAAGAGCGGCCATTAGGGTGTGCACCGTAAGTCTGATATTTAAGCCAATTATATATTATAGGCTGAATTTGTGCATGTATGTGCAATTGATTGTAGGTATGATCATGAATTTAAGTCCATTAACTAATACTAGAGTCATTGATCAATATTCTACATATAGGAGGGCACGTATATGATTATTAAAATCCTATTTGTGTTCTAAAATGACACAATAAATCCTTAATGAATTAGCTATGATAACGACTGAGAATGATCTTCTAGAGAATAGGAAAACTGAAAAGCTAATAGATAATTTTTATTTCAAATAATGGTATGATCATTTTCATTTTATTATAAATTTAGACATCTCAATTCTGGAACAAGGCCTCCAGAGTTCATTGATGATCATTCACAACTAAGATGATGCATTTCCTTCTGCTTAAAAAGAATTACTTGAAAACAGAAACCTTCTCAAAGCTGTTTATGGTAGACTCGACCAATCATTTAATCTAAGAACCACCTCACTAGAAAAAGAACTTGATGGGACGTAGACAGTTTTGTTGCTAAACACACTCAAATGCATAAAGAGGACCGATAAATTTTAACACTTTCGAACTGCCTGTTTGTTAGTTGTAGATCCAGAGGTACATACCACACATCATCAGGATCAGAAGATTTGCAGAAGGTAACTTGAGATTCATCTTGTTTACTATGGCATGAATCACCATCCATTCTCTTCTGCCAGATAGCAATTTCACCCTTTTCATACTTCTTCTCCCAGCAAAGCATTTTGGCAGCCTCTTCGATCTGCCTCTGCTCCTCCTGAAGTTCTTCCTTAGGACGCTGCCATGCCTTGTAGTTAACCTTCCAGTTGATTGGGGGGCCCGAAAGAACCCAATACCCACCTGGTCTGAGAACTCGGTCCACTTCCATCAAGTATTTCCCATCTACAGAAGAGCCCGATAAGATAACCAGGTCTAAGAAAATGTGTAAAAGAAACAAAGAACAAAAATAACAAGGTAGCCAAAGTATGCTCTCACCATTGGCACCCCATGGTATCAAGCACCGAGAACAATGAGCCATGTCGAAAGCTCTGGATGGATATGGCACCTTTATAGTACCGAGAACACCAATCACAGCAGGTACACCTCTTTCAAGAGCAAATTGAACCTGTGCTTCATGCGAGTCTCTTGGTGCAAATGACATAGCAATCACATTTCTGCTCCACAAGTAAGCACCCAAACTGGCAACCTATAATTACAGAGCAAAACAAAAAAAAATCAGAAATAGATCCAAATATCGGCAAAGGAACCAAAAGTTAGTAGCAGAAGAAGGAAGGAAGAAATATTTTACATACCCCACAACCTGTGTCGAGCAATGTTCTGACCGTCCCATTCTTAATTGGTATAACAGAGGCCAATTGATCAATGTACTTATCAGCACCTTGTGGGAACTGCGTCCCTCCACCAGGAAACCTAAACACATTACCCTCATACTGTACCCAATTCTGAATGGCCTTCTCCACAGTCAAGCTCTTATAAGGTGCATTCGCATAAGGGACATAATCACGACTTTTAGGCCAAGGGAACGGCGTCACGTAGCCCTTGGGAGCTGGTATTAGACAATGCAACTTCTCTTCCTCTGGGGGGCAATGCCTCTCCCTATATATCATGTTATCCCTAGGGAATGTCATGGCACGCCTCTGATCTTGACAGGGGGTGTAATCAGTGTACTTTGGAGCACATGGTTTAAAAACTTTCTTCTCCGATACAGAATCATCGGTGGAGGTGATTTCGCCACCATGGTGAGTCTCGAAATTGAGATTAGAGATTATGTTGCAATCCCCACCAGTGTTTTTGGTGATTTCCATGGCGAGATTGTCTGCTTTCCCAAAACCACTCCTTTGCCATGCTCCCAATATGTAGAAGAAACAGCACAGTCCAGCTACTATGAATATCTGGATCGAACTCCTAGTTCTGTTATCACCTGGATTAGGTTTCGGCGCCATTGTTATTGGTTATCTCCCCCTGGAAAACAAATCATTACATAACGAATCAGCTCTCGGTTCGGAGTTGGAGAAATTTTGGATCCAAATGTAGCACATACCAGATCCAAAGCTGATCCAGTAGATCAATGCTAAGAAGTCAAGTTTAGTATGTTCAAAGCGAAAAAAATTCAAACTAACTGAGCAAAGGAAATTGGAGGCAGGCTGATCTATCTATAACACCACCAGGAAACATGACATCTAGACAGGATGGGACTCAGATGGGGAAGACCAAATCAATAGTGGGGAATACCTGAATTCTCCATTAATAGGGATTAACACCATCCAAGGTTGAGGAATTAAATGCATTCAACATACAACAGTACACTAAAAGGTCCAATCACATTTAGCCATTAACTATATCAAACAACACACAGAAGGCAAAATTGCAAAGCTGAAACCATATGCACTTCATTTTCCAGAAAAAGAAACAATCTTGCAAATCATCGGCAGATGGGTAGTTGGATGCTTACCGATGGCGAATCGCATCAAGAGAAGGGGAGAAGAAGAGGGTAAAACCCCCCAATAAAATTGAAATAACGAAGGCTGGAGCAGTATTCTTCAAAGATCTGCTCCCTCTCACCAAGATGTAAGCTTTTCAAAGTAGATTGTGTTCAGACAAGGAGCAATGATGAAGAAAAGAGTGAAGCTTTGAGAGCTAAGTGAGAGAGGAAGAGAGATCTCAGATGGGGTGGAAGCTAGAACGTGGCAACAAGTATCTGAAGAAACCCTAATAATTTATTGAAATGAAAAAAGGAAGCTCCTTGGATCTGTTTGTTCTACCCAATTCACCCACAAGGAGGGAGAAGAGAAAAGAGGAAAAAGGGAAAAGAAAGTGGAAGGGAATATTTTGGCTTTTCCTTGGCGGTGGATGTAGTGAACGTGAGACTGTCTGAAGGATGAGAGCTCTGTGACACAGAAGAGGAGCAGAGTTTCCACTACGAGTAATTAACAGTAAGTAAGAGAGAACCAACCAAGCCAGCTAGCGCCAGACCGTGTCGCGTTTCTACTCTGCTCTCTTTCTTTATTGATTATTTTCACTCTGAACGTTCCCTTTCTTGTAAGAAAAATTATGGGACGGTTCTTCTTTGGGTTTCTTGTCCTGATTTAGGAGGAAAATTACAGTGATAGATTTTTCGATCCTTTTCCAATGTCGGTAAGCTATCCCTTCACATTGAATCAGGTAAAGCCGGTCTATAAGGGGTGATTTGCTTGCCGGTTGGTTTAGATGCAAAATTTTGGATACGAAAGGTTAATATTTACGTATGGCCTGAATTTTGATCAGAATTTTGACCAAAATAAACATTTTGGTCAAACTTTTAGATTTATAACATCTTGACCCAAACTATATATCAAAATAAACAATTTGGCCAGATCCGACTTTTGACTGTTAACTTGGACGGTCAACGCGTCATGTCTCTGCCAACTCAGCAAATTTCATTTTTTTTTAATTTACACATATTTCCATTTTCTTTCCTTTATCATTTTGAACGAATTTTTTTTTTCAATTTCGGATATATCCCCCAACAGACCCCCGGCCCTAACCTCATTCTTCCCTTCCCTTTACTTCGTCTCGTCTCGTCTCCTCTCTTCCTCCATCGCTCCGGCTGCCAACGTTGTTGTAGAGAAAGACAAAATAGCCCAACGCCTCCGTCACCGCCTCCGCCGTCGTCGTCGTCGAAGGTTTGAGCACCCACTTAATTTGCAGAAAGAGACATGTCGCCGACGTCCCTTTGGAATGTCGACCTGTCGTCGTCCCCTTGGAAGGAAGGAGAAGGTGAGGGGCGACGGGTGGTTTTTGTGAATGGGGATGGGGTACCGATATGGATAAGGTAGGGTAAGCGGCGTGCGTTTTGTCCCGAAATTGAAATTTTTTTTTATTATTTTTTTTTTCAAAATGATAAAGGAAAGAAAAGGGAAATAGGTGTAAATTAAAAAAAATTAATTGAAATTTGTTGAGTTGATATTGACATGGCGCGTTGACCGTTAGTCAACGCGTTTGACCGTCCAAGTTAACGGTAAAAAGTCGGATCTGGCCAAATTATTTATTTTGATGTATAGTTCGGGCCAGGATGTTATAGATCGAAAAGATTGGCCATGATGTTTATTTTGGTCAAAGTTCAGGCCATAAAGAAATATTAACCCTATTTTGAATCAATATGTTATATTATTTTTAAATGTGATAATTTATGAGTTATTAGAGATTTGTCACATTAGAAGTTCTTATTTGACTTTGATATGATATTCATAACAAATAAAGAGAAAATACCACAATGTCCCACTGTAATTATGTCCCCATATCCTTCCCTCTTAGAAATATAGTTTCTAACAAGAATTATATTTTGGACTTATTTGTCGCTTTATTATTGTTTGAATATTTGGATGTTATTTGGAGGTTATTTGAGAGTATTTTGTTATGATTAATTATTGAGTAGTTATAGTGAATCGAAATATATATTATGTGTTAGTGGAGTTGTTCTCATTAAGCAATAACAGAACAATTGTTTTCTAGACCTAATTTCTCCCTCCCTCTCTTCCCCCTTGTGCCATTGGCCTCTCTCTCCTGATACCCGCTTCTATTTCTTCCTCATCCCAAATTCTCTCTCCCTCCCATTATCAAATTGACTCACACCGACTACCACAATTAAAATTCCGACTAGAGCCCAAGTATAGACTCTAGTAGGGTGCAATATAGGGTTTAGCGTTTTAAAATGTTAACTCGGGCCGGTCCATGTACCCCTACTTAATCTTTTAAGCGTCATCTAGCAAACAATTTGTGGTTTAAAAACTAAGAAAACTGCAAAGTAAACAAGCAAGTTTCGACGGTCGGATCACAGTCACCGTCTACCCTGACCGCGAGGAAGTTCATAACCACGACTCACAGATCGCGACGGTGAAGTCTGTCCGCGAACTCCCAGAAGACGAAGAGTCGAAGACCAAAGAGGCGATGCCTGAAGATCGCAGTCTCGAAGGAAAAGATCATGACCCCAATCTACCCCTGTTCGACCGTGAACTTGTTCGTCCCCCTAAAGTCTATAAATAGAGGACCTCTTTCCACATTTTAAGAGAGTTGATTTTGAGATATAATTTCTGGTTTAGAGAGAGAGAGAGAGAGAGAGAGAGAGAGAAGCTAAAAGAAGGAAAAGAGGAGAAGGAAGAGAAGCTAGAGGAGAGGAGTCATCTTCTTCAACATCAAGTCTTCCCCAAATTCTTCTTGTATCTTCTTCACTCCTTTATGGAGTAGTCTCTTAAGGTACTAGGGTTCTATACTCGAAACCCTAGATTTAGGGCTATTATGTAATGAATGGATATGTTAGGTTTTGAATGAATGTGTTTGTTTAGTTGATTTTAATGCTTCTCTAGCTTTAATTGTGCTTGGGTAAGTCGTCATAATCTTCTCTACTAGCCTAATTGAGCTTCTACGCTAGGTATGGAGTTTTAGGGTTAGACGGGTATGCGCCATCTAGCAAATTAGGATGAGATGAATGAATAGGGTCTTGTGGAGCATAAGGCGACTGAACCCCTGCCACAAGAACACCTTCCTAGATGGAACCCGAGATGAAACCTCGGTGTGGACGGTGGGTAGTACCCATTAAAAGGAGCTACGTCATTAAAGCCCCATATACGTGAGCCTATACTGAGGTGACATTGGGTTAGGTAGGGCATTCTCGGAGGCGTGTGGATAATCACAAAGGCCCACGAAAGAGAGCTCACTCACTACATTCGCTTAACCCAACTTGTTTAGACAATTGCATGATAGACCTAGGCTAAGGAAAGGGTTTAGTTCCTCGATGTACCTACTTTTTTATTCTTTCTGCTAGTCATTTCTCTTGAAAAATCCTCCAACACAACCTTTTAAACCGATCGGCTAGATAACAACAACGTGGGAAGTAGGCTTGGGTACCAGAACATTAATCATAACATAACATGCATGAATAATTTTGGTACCCTAATTCTTAGTACATAACAAAGATTTAAAGTAAAAGCATCCCAACTTGCACCATAACGTCATATAACATTAACATAATGTCATATTGAGACATGATTATCTCTACTCTCTGGTTAAATGTGGTTGTGAATGAAGGAGAGACGAGATTCACAAAATTAAGGTTGAGACTTGGGTGTCGTTGTGAGAGTTGGGAGAGTGGTCAAATAGGCTGTTAACACGTATTGACAAGTCGGTTGGGTCCACGGTTTGGTCCGGTAAACCGGGGTCTAGACCAGACCAGACCAAGAGATCAATACATAAATACAGACCATGTACCAGACCAGATCATACTTAACGGTCTACGGTTCGGACCAAACTGTACGGTACAATTTGGACCACGGTTTTTCTAACGATTTGGTCTGTTTCCCAGCTCTACATCGCGTTTGACGGCTGTGGTGGCTGTGGTGATGCTCAAACATATGTAAATTGGGAAATTTTCATAAAACATGTATATTTTGAAATATTATTTTTAAAATGTGTATTTTGAGATTGTTTCCTAAAATCCATCAACAGTGAGATTTTACCCGAATTGGATCGGGTGGATTCATGGAGGAATTTGTGTAAAAGTAAGCACGAAGAGGGCATGGGGTTTCGTCGCTTTGAGCATTTCAACCAAGCATTGCTAGATAAAATTGGTTGGCGGATCCTTATGGAGCCACAGTCCCTTATTGCCCAGGTGTACAAAGGTAAATATTTCCTCAATGGGACGTTTCTCACTGCTCAGGCCCGGTCTCGTCCCTCTTGGGGGTGGCAAAGTATCCTCTTTGGCCATCAATTGTTGGAATCAGGGTTGTGATGGCAAATTGGGAATGGTTAGAAGGCGCCTCTGCTAACGTCCAGTTGGATTCCCCAGCAACATCCTCGTCACCCAGTCTATAACCCGTGCGTGGTTACTGATGGGGAGGGTTTGAAGGTGGAGGAGGTGATCCACCAAGGGGAGGGACGTTGGAATTATCAAAAACTCGGTCAATGGTTTGACCCAGCTACCTGTAAAGCCATTAAAACCATCCATTTGCTGCGCCAGAATATTGAGGATAAGTTGATATGGCATCCGACTTCTGATGGCATTTTCTCAGTTAAATCTGCGTACTACGTTGCGGTGAATTTGGATCGTCAGAATGGTCGTTGGAGGGCTTTGGCTAGTTGGATGGATAAGCCAAGTTGGATCAACTTGTGGGAAGCGGATATCCCTCCGAAGCTTAGGGTGTTTGTATGGCAAATCTTTCATAGAATTCTTCCTACTACGGAAGCGCTCCGTGAAAAGAAGGTGGACGTCTTGCCTCGATGTCCGGTATGCTGGGATGCATCGGAAACTCTGGAACATATGTTCTTGGAGTGTCCGGTGGCTCGTGCATTGTGGGATCATTCTGGGCTAGCCTACCTGGGTGAAGGTTTGCCTCGTCACACACTCTCGCTCTTTCTGAAGAAATTGCTGGCTGTGGTGCATAACCCTGCTTTGGTGATGTCGGTAGTGGCTGTTCTGTGGCGGATTTGGCGCTCCCGTAATTGGATGGTCTTTGAAGGCAAACAGTTCGGGATCCCTTCCTTGATGCGGCAATTCCACCAACAAGTCCATGAATGGCTTAGCTTACCCCGGGACCAGACTGATCAGCTTTCGCGCCCTCCGGCCCCTACCGTAACTTCTGATGGAGCTGACACGACAATTTGTATGTGGGATGGGGCGGTGCGGGTGGGATCTCATGCGGCAGGGGGATGGTTATCCTCAATTCAGATAGAGCGGTCATCCTTGCGAAGGGGGTTCATTTCCCATTCCTTGGTGATCCAATGATGGTGGAAGCTTTGGTCCTCTGGGAGGCGATTGGCTGGTGTTTGGCAAACGGATTCACTGTCATAAGGTTTGAAGGTGATGCCCAGGTGATAATTGAGAAGATTCTCCGGAAGGACGTGCGGGATAACCATATAGGGGCAATTCTGGAGGAGATAGTCAATTTATTTGCTTCAAACGTGGGTTTCACTATACGATTTGTAGGTCGACGAAACAATAGGGTAGCTCATTCGGTAGCTAGACAGGCCCTGTCTTTGTTCTCGACTACATGTCGTTTGTTTGATTTCCAGGCCTGGCTGTATTCCAGGATGTAACGATCTATTT